TTTTTTTTTTTTTTTTTTTTTTTTGTCAACAAACGGCTGATCTATTACTCAAGTTTGAGGTGGCTGATCTATTACTCAAACTTGAGGTGGCTGATCTATTACTCAAGCTTGAGGTGGTCTGGGAATCCAGACCGGAATAGAACGACCAACATACATCAGATCGCGATAGAAGGCTCGCGCAGTCTAAGCTAAGAAATCGGACACAACATTTTGGGACCTAAGCACATAAAATAACTTGAAATCTAGGAAGCAGATCCGCAGCGTCAAGAGTTTCTCCAGTTCCGTCGAAAAACTTGGCCATTAATGGGGACGTGTGAGCATCGCTATCAACTCCTTGCAATCTGTCTCAAAGCTCTGACATGACGAATGTTGAAGCATATTCTCCATTGCCCACCGCAGTGCTTCCAGCTCAGAGTGCAAGGCCGACTCCACTCTACTTACATTACATAAGCCCATCAACTGACTATTCCCCAATCTGTCATTCCAATCCCAACCACAATTTGAGAATTGGTCTGTAGAAGTCCAAAAACCATCTACCAAGCAGATGTCTTCTAGGCTTATAACCAAGCAGATGTCTTCTAGGCTTATAACCATTAGCTTGGAACCATGCAAGAGACTCGCTCTCCGCATATCGAGCTAGCTCTAGAGAATCTCTATTTTTTCTTCTCTCTATTTAACTATTTTATTTAAACGTAAAAATAAATATCATGGATTAAACTCTAGTGTTACCTTAATTTAAATGGACCACATATAGACGTAAACCAAACTTAATAAGTCACAGACACAATCATGAAATTGAGCCTAAGAAAACAGTTCTGTTGACTGCAACAGCAAAAATTAGAATTACGAGGCAAGCTAAGAAATCAGTAAAAGTGTTGTGGAGTATAGTGGGTTCTGCCTAGAACTAGGGTCACAATCGGGTTTCGGTTCAGATTCATTCGGATTTCAAGTTTTTGGATTCATAAATTTTAGCCTTTTTCAAATATTATAAAAATTCGGACCAAATTTGGTTTGGATGTTCAGGTTTAATTACATGTTCAAGATTTGGTTGAACCCGAAATAAATTTGATTTCAGATTTTAATCAGATTATCGCTTCTAGAAATATTAATTTATATTTGATTGAATTTAATATATTTTCAGTCATCTTAATAAATTTGTATATTTAGCTTCTGCAAACTATATTGTTGACCTTGAAAATAATTTTTTGAAACCCATCTATAGCCTATGTGAGATTTGACTTTGAACTATATTTGAAAATACTAAACATGATTCATGATAGACAAAATTTTGTATAAACAAAATTATACATAACCAAACATAAAAAATTAAAGTTAACAAGTAACAATTCTATAAGCATAAAAACTACTATTTAAACTTTTAAAAACAACATTGTGTAAACTTCAAAACAAATTTATTCTCACTGAATTTGAAATGCAATGTCAAACATATAAACGTCAATATTAACCAAATAAGAATATATATTAGACTAAGTATTTGAGTTAATTGTTAGAAACCTATAACCTAAATACCATTAAAACAAGACTCATTAGGTATTTATGTCGGGTTCGGATCGGTTTGGATTCATTTTTATCGGGCAGGGTTCGGTTTATTTATCTAACCCTAATTCCGCTTGAGAAGCATATCTGGAGATAATAATCTGGAGTAAAAAAGTTTTCTACTCCGTTACTCTAATGTTTAGCTAATCAGATGGAATTTTAACCCAAAAAAGAGAAATTCTTGAGTTCACCAACCAATAGGATTTTATTATTTTATATTTATTATCTTTTAAAATGGAAACAAAATATCATCCAGTTATACTATGTTTTTAAAATTAAAAGATACAAATAAAAAAAAATAGTAGTTACATATAAAAAACATTAAAAAAAATATTTTTAATACCGTTAACAAAACACTTAACCCTAAACCTTAAATCCTAAACCCTTGGGTAAATCCTAAACCCTTGGATTAATCTTAAACCCTAGAATTTATGATTAATCCAAGGGTTTAGAGTTTACCCAAGGGTTTAGGGTTTAGGGTTTAAGGTTTAGTGTTTTGATGTTTGTATCAAAATTATTTTTTTACAAAATCAAAGATTTATCCAAGGGTTTAGGGTTTACCCAAGGGTTTAGGGTTTAGGATTTAGAGTTTAGTGTTTTGCTGACGGTATTAAAAAAAGTTTTTAAATTTTTTGTTTGTTTGCAACTACTATTATTTCTCATTTTTTTTTGGTTTTAAAAACATAATATAAATCGATAGTATTTTGTTTCCTTTTTTAAAAGATACTGAATATAAAACAATGAAATCCTAAACCCTAAACCCTTGGGTAAATCATAAATCTTTTCGAAAAATCTTAAACAATAAATCAAAATATTAATAGTAACCAATTATACTGTTTTTATTTATTTATATCTTTTTATTTTAAAAACATAATATAATGTAACAATATTTTTAATTTTTTTTTTCGTTTTTTGTAAATATTATTATTTTTATTTGAAAAACATAATATAACTTAACAAGATTTTGTTTCTTTTTGAAAAAACAATATCAAATATGAAATAACATTATCTTATTGGTTGGTGAACCTAGATTGGCCATGAAACAGTAAGGGATTGGCCAAAAAGTGTTTTTTGCTTGGATAACAGTAACTTCTAGAAGATTGTACAAGGACTTGGCATATTAGAGGGAGTAAGAGCATCAATATCGGTAGTATTTAGGGGGTCTCTTATGATTAAAAGAAAATCAAAAATACAATTAATAGGAAGAGACGTATATTATTTGGGGTTCACAAGGGACGAGTTTTTAGGACACGTGTAGGGTAAAGGAGAGGAGAGAGGAGGAGCGTGTCTATTGGTTTCGTGTTTGGTCGTCGTCCATTCTCTCGAAGCGTTCAACTCCGTATCGGAGATCAGAGAAGGTGATTCTACCTCTCTCGCGACGACGGACGGTATCGACGATGGTGGGGTGGGCGATAGCGTCACACGGCGGCGCTGGAGATATTCCAATCAATCTTTCTGACGAGCGACGTATCCCTCGCGAGACCACCCTCTGTCACTGGCCTGATCTCGGTGCTTGCGCCCTCAAATCCGGCAAACATCCACTTGACCTCACCAAACTCTTCGTACGCCTCTCTCTCTTGCTCTCTCAGTCGGATCATTTTGTGATTCGGTTATCATATAATTTTGTAGCTATCGATGAGGAAACTGATTACTAGGAGACGAAGTAGATGTAAACAGTTTTAGTTTCTGAATTATCGTGTACACTACTTAATCTGAATCTGAAACTATTTATGAAAGCTATAATTGAGATATGTCAAGCTTGATAATATTGAGTTACTGTATGAATGATAGATCAGCGATCACTCTATTGATGAGTCTTTATTATAAAGCTGTCTTCTCTTGGTTAAGTTTCTCTGTTTTTTTGTTGTTACGGTTCGTGAATTTGTGAACAACCCAGACTTCATCACAGTTGGATTACGCAGCGTTGGTTTATCAATCTAAACGCACCTGAGAACATACCAACCATTGGTTAGTATTACCTAACTTCCTAACTTCCGTCATCTATCCCATTCTTACCTCCATTGGTTAGTATAAAAACACTTTCTTTAGAGGTTTGTGTGTTTTGTATTGATCATAGATACATTTTCATTTTGCTAGACTGCTGCCAGTTTGGGAGTTTATTACGCAACTTGCTTCTCACTCATCGCTGGGATCATCCTTTTCGATGGCCTACTAGCTCCTACTGTAAGTCATTTGCTGCAAGATAGGTATAGATTACTTTTGTTCTCTGTAATATAGTTTTTTATTAAGATGAGGATGCTAAATTGTTGTGTCATTGGTAGATAAAGAACGAAGGTGTATAAAATCGATGGAGTTGTGTTGTATAATCGGTAGATAGAGAACAAAGGCTTTAAACCACAATTTTTTTTAAAAACCCTATATAAGAGACTTGCATTGGAGGCTTTAAAATGTTAGGTCTTTAAGTATGTCTCTTAACCTAATATTTACTACTAATATTATTAAAAAAAGTATTAAGAGACCCATTTTGAGTCTTTGGGATAATGATGCTCTAACTGCACCTGCGGTGTTAGATCATGAGAGGGGAATGTAAGACCAGCTCCAACGCGGGTTCAGCAAGGGTTCATAGGGAAGGCCCGAAACCGAATTGGATTATTAAAACAATATAATGGGCCAAAAATTTTAGAGGTGCCCCTTAGAACAATGATTTTGGACCCGAGTCCTTAAAGACGTGGCGTATCGCCATTGGGTGTCTGGTTTATTTCGCGAGAGATATAAAAAAAAATATCTTCATTTCTCGCGACCGAAAGAAAAAAAGGAGAGAGGGCGATATTGTCGGCCACCTTCATCGTTTAAGGTAAATCGAGCTGTGTATGTTTTATCTGAGAGTTTTGGTGTTCATCTATGGATTTCTACTTGTTCTTCTTTTGTTCGTCTCAAGTTTTTGGTCGGTTTTGGTTTTTAAATACGAGTTGGGGATCGAAATGAAATTAGGCTTTTTGATTTGGGGCTTTCATATTCTTTTGGTTTCGTTTTTGAGTAGATTATGGTTTTCGATTAGGTTAGAAGATCGATTTAGGGTTTCTTTTGGGGATCGATATGAAATTAGGGTTTTCGATATGGTTCGAAGGGGATTTGGGGTTCCGATATGGGGCTTGTTTTGATCCCGAAATCACTACAAGAAATATCGGTATTGGTAGCACCCGAAAAACGTTATTATAGGGTTTTCGTAGCGTTTCGAAGAACGCCGTGACAGCCGCAGCTATGGTAGACCCCCCGCCTATCATAGCGTATTTTCGTGTGCTATAAAAACTAAAGAGATTATAGCATTTATACTACGCTATATTAAAATGTTTTAACAACACCATAATTTTGCTATTATATGATTTTCTATGACATTTTTCACGTGCCACAACATAATTTATAATGATATATATATAATGCTATAATTAATTATAAAATAATTAAAAATATTAAATTAATTATTAAAAATAAATTAATTAAGAATAGTTAATTAAAATAAAATAATTAAAAATGAAATTTCAAGTAAATTCATGAAAGATTAAATTTTAATAAAAGTAAGTATACAAACAAAATCTGTACAACAAAACTAAACCAAATTTAAAAATAAAAATAAGTAAACCTGACCCGGTTTACTAATCTAAACATGAAACAGCTTAACCAAAAAAAAATTAACCCTACATCTAAAGTCTAAACTTGTCGCCGTCAACTTATTTCTTCGTCTTCTGCCGCATCGTCTTTGAACAGCCACCGTCAAAATCACTATTGTCTCTGCTACTCCACCACCATCAAGCTTTCTCATCTGCCATGACTGCTCACGACCACTTTTCTGTTTCTCTTCTTGCTCGGCTCCATCTCTACCACTACCGCTAGCTTCATCTGCCATCTCCACACCACATCTTGTTCAAAACGTACACAAAAAAAAAAACAAAAACGTTACAGTAAAGAAATCAGTTCACATACTAACCCTTATTTGATTTAAAGATAAAAACTTTCGATTAGATTAAGAAAAAGGAACGAACTTGCAGATTGAGGCTTCAAGCCAGAGTAAATCTTGATGCTACAGCTACAAAAAAAAAAGAGCATATAAACAATCAGATGCAAGTGTGTATGTGTGTACAATTAGAGACATAAGCATGTAAGATTTCAGAATCTAAGTTTACCACAGACTCAGAGAAGATTGGGGAAGAGTTGTGTTTAACGAGACCGCCATGGTCGTCACCCACCATTGTCGTGGTTGAGACCACCACCATCAAGCTTCTTCAGCCTCCCCCACCTTCTTTAACTAAGAACCCAAAAACAAAACCAGAATCAGAACAGTAAGAGAGAGAGAGACAGAGAAGAGAGGCGATAGATCTGTGGAAGAGAGAAGGAAAAGTGGAGAGAGGGTTGAATTGTGTGTCCAATCAGAAAATAAATAAAATAATCTGGACCATTGATTAAATTGTGATCAATGGTCTATAATTGTGATCCTCAACATTACTGTCTCGACCAATGAAAAATAAGGACGAGGATAGATAAGGAGATTGATTTTGGACCTTTGATCCAAATATATCAATGGCTCAAAAAAAATAATAGAAATTGTTTATTTTTATTTATAGTTATTGTAGAAACTTTAAATAATTTGATATTCTAATTCAAATTTAAAAATCTGAAACTTTTATTTAAATTTTGAAGCTGTGATTGACTAAAATATTAAAAATCAAGATTGAATGTTTTATGATATAGGTTAATATGGGATATATGGTATAGGCTTTAGGGTTATAGATTTATAATTAAGTATATGGTTTTGAGTTTAAAATATACTTGTATTTTAAGTTTAAATTTTAAGTTTGAAAATATTAGATTTATGACTTTGTATACATGGTTTGAGTTTAGGGTTTGCGGTTTGGAGAATTTTTAGGGTTTGGTGTTTGAAATATTTAGGATAAAGTTGAAGTTTTAAATTTGGGGTTAAAATTTGGAGAAAAGATTTGAATTAATTATATGATTTGAGTTGTAGAATATACATAGAATTTAAGATTAAAATTTATATTATAGGTTTGAAAAATCAGATTTATGATTTGTATGTAGGGTTTATGTTTGGCTTTAGGGGTTAAGGTTAAAGGTGTAGATTTAAGATTTGGTGTTTTGAGGTTTAGAATTTATATTTGAGTTTCGATTTTAAAATAATAAAATTTAGAGTTTAAGTTTAAAACTGAAATTATAATCTGATTTTTTTTATTTAATATTTTAAATTTTGGGTTTAAAATTTAGACTTCATGGTTATATTTAGGGGTTAAAAATATATTTAGGGTTTAGGGGTTCAAAATAAATTTATTTAGTCACTTTGTTAAAATTATATATCCCTAAAATTATAAAATAGAAATGATAATTATATTAACAGAAAACAGAGAACCTTAGACTCATAATTATATTAACATACATCAAGTCTCGCCGTGTCAAAGAAAATGAAAATAATTTCATAATCACCTCTCTTGCATATCTTAACAAACTCTACATCAAGTATTTCTAAGTATCACTTCATTGATCTTAGTTGTTTTAATATTGCTAAAGCTAAAGGAACCTCATTACTGAAACCACCAACAATCTCTCTGGATATCTTCTGAATTTGTGATTGCACATCAGAGAACTCTCTTTCTTTCTCTTCTTTTTGTTGCCACAGTTGTTCAAGAGCCAGTGCTATAGCAGCAAGCTGTTATTTTATCATTCCAGAAGACTTATCCAGCTTCAACAACTGAAGAAACAAACACTCACAAGAGATACATAATTAAACAAAGAGTATGATACTCAGAACTTGACAGTGATTAATGGACATATCTTGGCTGCAATCACGACAACAACAACAAGAAAAACTGAGAGAAGCTAGTCAGACATAGACTTACGTTTACAGACAAGCTTCAAGTCTCCTCCATGTATTAAATCAGTAATAAGATATCAACTAATACACTTAAAAATTTAACATTTACCTTAAGGTCTTGACGATCTAGCAGTTTAGTATAGGAACGATGTCTTTGTGTTTCATGTCAATATGTCATCATAAACTTCATCAAATGCAAAAGCAGAAGGATCCTCCTCCAATGCTTTCTTATTTTTATCCTCAGTCTAACTCAACACAGCACCTTTTAACTACTTGGCAGAATCGAAAAGTAAAAAACAGAGAGAGAATGTAAACGTACTTTTTGCATAAAACTCTGTTTCACTTTGAGTAAACAACACACATGCTCCACTTCCTCAATGAATCTTTTGGATTCTCTTCAAGAAAATTCCACACTCTCTTCTCCTTATCATCAGCCATTATCTACTTCATCATCCTCCCAGACGCCTTTGCAGTGAAGTTCCACAAGTAATCTCCCCAAGAAAGGACCTTCAGCATTGGTGACCACCATTGTTGTAAACTCAAAAGGCTTCCTGCAGAAAATAACAAAAAAGACCATAACTAAACTAGAGTATGGTACACAGAACTTGACATTGATACCCACTTAAGCCTGTGTAATATCATAAGACATCAATATAAGAAAGAAGCCGATGAGCAATCAAAATCATGTAAAGCTTCGTTTTTTTTTCTTTCTTGGCATCGAGAAATCAGACTAGTTATTACCTTGAGTTACATACATCTATCAATGTGAAATTAAAACCGATACAAACATAATCCATGTAAAGTTGGGTTCTT